GGACCATCGCTTCCTTGAGTGCCCAAGGGAATTGGCCCTCTATGAGGGACATGTTGATAATCTCCCACAGGGCACCTCGAAACCCCTCATGGCCAGCTTTAATAAGCCAAGAGGAGCACGGATCAAGGTCGCATGTGGTTGGGCGCACCGATACAAGCAGTCTGTCAAATTCCTCCAGACTAAATTGGTCAAAACACTCTAAACCCGGCTCCAAAGACGTGTAAGGGGCCTCAAGTTCACTCACTGTCTCAAGTGTGGTGGGGAGATCGCAACGAAGCACTGAGACTTCATCTTCAAAATAGCTCGCAAATGCCTCACAGCCAATATCCAATTCCCTAATGTTTTGTCTGCCCTGTGGCAGAACTGTCAAAGATTGAATTGTACTAAATAATTGGGCTGGGCGTGAGCTAGCAGATGCAATCGTGGCCGCATAGAACTCTCTCTTTGCAGCTTTGGCTACCATCTCATAGGCCTTCATAAATGTCCTATAAGATGCTCTAGATGCTTCGTTGTGAGTTTGATGCCACCGTCTCTCTAGCCATCTCAGCTCACTCTTCAGCTCGCGCAACTCCTGGGTATACCAAGTGCAGAGAGGGCACCTTGGAGCGATCTCGTCAATGGCCGAGGAGAGCCGGTCCTGCCAGTCCTCCACCAGCTCATCCAATGAGCCGCCAGGGGGCCTCGGATCCCGCAGGGCCATCTGGAGCCACAACGGGTCCATTTGGCGCCACGAGCAAGCATAAATCTGCTCGCCACCTAAACAGGGTCGACATTTGGCACCACGAGCAAGCATAAATCTGCTCGCCACCTAAACAGGGTCGGGGTGGGGCCCTCAGACGGGCCTTCAGGGCCTGGTGGTTTGACCATGGCACTACCTCCATAGTAATCCGGTCCACCTTCACCCCCGCCGTGAAGATCAAATCGAGCGTGTGGCCGGCCCGATGTGTAAGAGCCGAGACAAGCTGAGAGAGTCCCAGCATCACCATGGTCAACACCAGGTCTGTAGCCCGGCTGGAGGCCGCGTCCTCGGCATGGACATTGAAATCACCCAAGACAATCAGCCTAGGGTGCTCCAATGCCCAGCCTGATACAGCCTCCAGCAGGGATGGCAGACTACTGGCTGATGCGTTAGGCGGTCGGTACACCAGCCAGATTGCCAAACTCTCCTCAGCCTCCAGCATCACACCGACACACTCCACACCCACGATCTCCGCTTGCAGAAGTGCCCTGAAGGAGTAAGGCTCCCGAATGAGGATAGCCACTCCCCCCCACCCCTGAGTCCGTGACTGGTGGAGGACCAAAAACCCAGGCGGGGTAAGCTGGGCGAGAGCTACTGTCTCTCCCTCCCACACCCAGGTCTCGGTCACACACGCCAGGTCTGCATGTTGGTCTTGTACAAAATCTCGAAGGATTGTAGTTTTGTTATTAACAGACCTGGTGTTAAACAGCACCAGTGAAGGAGGGGGGTTCTTCCTCCTGGCTCCACTGCCAGCCACCGTTGGGATGGGCCGAAGGCTGGAAGGGCGCCGAGCCATTCTATTTCTCAGCATCCTCCCCTTAAAACTCCGCTTCGGCCCACCACACTTCCCCCGCCCCAAGAGCATTGGAATTTGCTGACCAGCCATTTATTCCCCTGATGGCTGCCGCAATACTTCAGGCCACCAGTGGCTTGGATGACAGAGCACAGCAAAACCGCTCTCACAGTGCAACAGCTTAATCTTAACTTAACCTACTGCTACAAACACTCTGAGTGCTATTGAACAGAATATTAACAATATTTCCTCACCTAACAGTTCCTACCAGAGAACTATATTTATCTAAGCATTGTGAGTCCCTGGACTAAAAACCAACATTCATCACCATACAATCTCTCATACAGCACTCACTCACTCACTCAGTATCCTACTAGCAGGCAGATCATAAGACATCCCAACCCACAGACACTCAAACTGTTGCAAATGAAAGAAGGTTCTGCCACTACCTCTCCCGCTGCAAAGGGCATAGATGTAAACAACCCTCCACTTCTCGCATTGTAAAACAGTCTAGTAGCCGCCTCCAATTTCCAAGCCCTCCCCCAAAGGGAAGAGAAACAGCTTTCTTCCACGGGTGCCCGTTCCCCAGGCCAGCCACCAGAGGCACTCTATGCACCCCGACCAGCCCAGCTGCACGGTCCAAGCCAACTCCCTGATCTCCAACTTTCATCAGCTCTTCAGGCTCCGATGTACCACTGTCAGGGTCCTCAGTCCCCCAACCGCTCCGATGCTTCCCCCTCAGCGACCAATTTCCGTGATCAGGAGTCCTCGATGGTTCCCGCTGGGATGGCTCAACTTTCGTGGCCGCTCCCTCCGTCAAAGCTGGGGACAGTCTGTCTTCCTCTGGCTCCACGACGAAAATGAATAGTTAGGAAACCATTCCATATTTGGTTTCAATAAATCAAATTGCCTGGTTTAAGTTGGGTCAGTGCTATTATTCCCATGTTGTAAAGGGGAGGTGAGACTGAGAAAGTTGTCTACAGTTACCTATTGAATATGTGGCCGAAAGGAAGTTTGAACTGGGTACTTGCTGGCTCATAGCTCATTTTTATAGTACCATCCTAAGCTTAGTTGTCTCAAGAGGGGGTATCTCTGCAGAGGACTGGAGAGATCTCTAACTCTACCTGAGGTGGTATTGTTTCTGGGCTATACACCTTCAGACTGCATGTGGGAACACACATGACTGAACATTCCTCCACATAAAATAATCTCCCACCCTCACAGAGAACTAAACAGAAGCCTAGGCTTCTCCTTGACACATAGTTGATGCATGCAAAGAGTTGATTCGGGTGGTGAAGCATTAGGTTTATTCCAGCCATTCTTTTTTTCACTCAGTCTCATAGAATTCTCCTCCACACCACGGCTCCTGTATCACATAGTTTTTATCCATGCAGATCCTTAATCCCTAACATAGCCCTCTAAGGGGGCCCTTCCTTCCTTTTTTTTCCTTTCCCACAAGCGGAAAAGCTGGTTGGCTTCAACTGATTGAATCATGTGGCTCCTCCACAGGGGTCATTTCCTGCAGGAGCGCACAGGAGCGGAGCTCCGGCAGTAAAGAGCCCAGGGGGCGGGCACATGCAACAAGCCCCGCCCCCTGCTCCCGGCAGCCCCCAGTCAGTCAACCCAGTGGTTGATTCAGTATCATCCAACAGTATCAGGGATTCGAACCTGCGTCTCTCCAGTCTAAGTTAAACCACTACGCCATACCATTACTGGCTCATTTTGACTAGCGTGGTGCAGTGGGGGAAATGTCATTTTAGGCTAGGGAGAGGCCTGGGTTCATCTCTTCCAACTTTCCATGAAGCTTGCTGGGTGACCTGGGGCCAATCGCTGTCCCTCAGCCTGACCTGACTCTAGGGTTGCCAACCTCCAGGTGGCACCTGGAGATCTCCCGCTATTATAATTTGACCTCCAGACAACCAAGATCAGTTCCCTTGGAGAAAATGGCTGCTTTGGCGGATGTAATATATGGTATTATACCCTCCTGAGGTTTCTCCCCTCCCTAAACCCTGCCGTTCCCAGGCTCCACCCCCCAAATCACCAGGTGTTTCCCAAACCAGAGCTGGCAACCAATGCACCCTCTGAGCTTACAGAGAACACTGCTGGCAACCTGATCTACCTCAAAGCAGGGGTCATTTCCTGCAGGAGCACACAGGAGCGGAGCTCCGGCAGTAAGGAGCCCAGGGGGCAGGCACATGCAACAAGCCCCACCCCCTGCTCCCAGCAGCCCTCAGTCAGATCAAGAAGCAGCCAAGTAAGTTGCAGAGCCCCCCCTCCCGCCGTCCAAAACAGTCCAGTGGAACCTTTAAGACCACGTTTTATTCAGGTACAAGCTCTCCCTCCTCTGTGAGGACAGATCTGCACGTTCGCCCCCCCCACTAGCTAGCAATCCAAAACAGTCCAGTGGAGCCTGAGCAGTGGGTGTTGCCTTCTGACACACTTCCGGTGATGTCAGGGGGCATGGCATATGCAAATAAGGTATGCTAAAAAAACCCCTCTTTTTCTACGAAATGACCCCTGCTCCTCCACATGCAGGCAAATCAGCCAGTGAAGTCCAGATTCAGGCTTCTCACATAACTAAGAAATATGCAGTTGTCACTGTGCAATATCATTTAGGGTTGCCAACTCCATCTTGGGAAATTCCTGAAGATTTTGGAGTGGAGCCTGAGGAGGGTGCAGTTTGATGTGAGCATAGGGATGTCTGGGGGTTCCCCGGAATTATAGCTCATCTCCAGGCGACAGAGATTAGTACACCTGGAGAAAATGGCTGTTTTGGAAGGTGGACTCCATAGCATTGTACCCAATTGAAGTCCCTCCCCTCCCCTGAACCTCCCCTTCCTCAGGCTTCACCCCCAAAATCTCCAGATATTTCCCAACTTTGATCTGGCAACCCTACATGAGCAGTAGCTGGTGTGACATCATTTCTGGAGGAAACCCAGAAGTGATGTCAGTCTTCTCTAAATTTTACCATAGAGTTTCTGCCAATTCCTAGAAAGGTGCAAAAGTGATAACATGCCATCACCAACAGCTGCTCCCCCCCCATCTCCTGGCAACCCTCAAGCACAGTGGGGATGCGATAGCATAGAGTCAACCATCCAACGTTCCCATTCCCTCCATGAGCACCAATCTGTGTAGTCTGGAGATCAGTTGCAACTCCAGGAGATATTTGGGCCCTACTTGGAGTCTGGCAACCCTAACAGCAGCTTTATGGCACACCAGATGTTATTGGCTAACTCAGCATGAAATCCAGAATGGGAAGGTCTTAATTTTCACTTGCTCATTTTGTAACCCAGCAGTCAGTCATTGTTAAAATCTATTCATTAAATTAAGCAAAAGAAACAATTTTTGCTCTGTGCTGCAGCAGCCTGAGTGTTGAACCGTTACATGTAAAATAAATGACCCTTTTCAGACGTTTCTGGTAATTAGGGCTGCTACTCCTATATCAGATTTCAGCTTTCTAGGCAGTGTGAAAATAGCCCAACCATTCACAAGTATGCTTCATGTCCTCCCCCTCAACTGGTGACAGAGATGGACAAATACTTCCCCTTGAGACCTTTTTTTTTTTAAATTAAGCAGGATGCCTGGGACAGCATGCATACTCATTTTAGCTTTCTGAGTAGTGAGCAAGTCTTGTGGTATATACTTTGTACTCTCCGTTTGAGCAAGTGATATAACACTGTCTCATCAGACTACAGCTCAGATCCCTAAAATATTTTCACCAGTTTTCCCTTCCTGCAGCAGGCTGGCAACTCCTCCCAGCTATTTCTGCCCCCCCTCCGCCCCTAGGATCAGAGTTTTGGATTGCAGTGGGAGAGAAGAAACAGGGAAGTCACCCTTTGCAGACAGAACCCCTTCTGTTTCTGGACCATTTAGGTTGGATGATCCAACCCCATAGGTGCACTAGATTTCCTTTCACTGATCTTATTTAATTCTTGTTTTAATTGTTTTATACCTTTGTGTAAGCTGCCCTGAGCCTGTCTTGGTGGGGAGGGCAGGATATAAATTAAGTAAATAAATAAAAATAAACGTTCTGGGTGGTGTGAAAGTACCATGATCATTTCAGAATATACCTTGAATTCTCTGTTTTGAGGAATGGACGCACAAAGTTCCAATCCTGTTTTGAGGCAAAGATGTACAACAGTCCTGTTTCCTCATTTATGTAGTGATCAGAATGTCTAAGTAATGTGGAAGTGCTGTGTGACTATTTTAAGAGTCCCCTGAATAAACCAGTCAGTGGCTGAAGCCAAATAACAAAATGCCTCTCCTCTTCTGATCTAGGTTTGATTAAGCTGATGTCTCGATCCTTTGTATTCTTCTTCTGCTGCTGCTGCTACTGCTGCATTTTCTTGACGGGGCAATTCAGAATAGCTGCTTAGAGGACCAAGTGAAATGCAGATACAGTTTCCCATTTACATTTTTTTTTAAATTCTGACAGTGACCCACATACCATTGTTGCAGCGGTTTCCAGGGCAGCACATGCCATCTCTGTGACAACGCCTCTTTTTCCTCCTACAAATCATACAGGCAGAAGTAGCTTGATGGGGACTGTGGCAATATTTACCAACTTCACATTCCTTGTCATTGGTACAAGGATAAACCTAAGGGAAGAGAAGGGGGGGGGAACCATTATTAGCTAATACCTTGCCGGCGATTACAAAACAAACAAAGGAAAAAGGAAAGGAACTGTTAGACTAGAATAATTTCAGATAGAAAATGACACCCTAAATCCTGGATTTATAGTTCTGTAATCATCATTAGTCACAGCTGATACCAGAGGAGCTTTCAATTTTATTGTTTTTCTTTCGGCTGTTATAGTCACACAGACCAGGAACCTGCTAACTTTGGATATCAGGAGTGCATGGCCCCATAATGCACCTGATATTTTATTTGTTTGTTTGTTTATATTCTGCCTTTCTGCCCAGTCAGGTCCATTGAGTTAGAGGGTTGCCAGTCCCCAGGTCCCAGCGGGAGTTCCCTTGGTTTTGGGGGCTTCTGCCTCCTGCTGGCCAGCTGGCCAGCAAGGAAAACCCCCACCCCCAAACAGCCATGTCCCTGTGTGACATCTCTAATGTGATGACATCACCCAGAGTGATGTCATCACATCAGTGACATCACAGGGGATGCTCTGATTTGAGGGCAAAACTCTATGGTAAATTTGCCCTCAAGCCACAGAGTTTTGCCCTCAAACCAGAGTGTTGCCATGAGATGTCATCAATGTGATGATGTCACTTCCGGGTGACGTCATTGCATCGGAGACTTCACGATCCCTGCCCACTCCATGAACACCCCCCAAATTCCCCTGATGGTGACAAGGAAGGACCTGGCAACCCTACGTAAGGCAGCTAGCGATTAAATCAATCATCATCTCTTGTGAGTTGGGCAATGCATGTGACACACATAAGAAATCCATGCATTGCTTGATTCATATGGTATGTGATTTCACATATCAAGCACATCACAGTTACCTTGCATTTCTAATCTGTGCAGCTGGCAGACTTTTAGATCACATAAATATGCCAGTTGTAATGAATTATAGTGTTTATTGGAGCAGGAATGCTAGGCTAGATGGGCCATTGTTTGTCTTGGTGACAATACTGGCCCTCAAGTTAGTTTTAACTGATGCATAAAGAACACCTTGATAAGTGAGTAGAATATTTCTTGTCAAGTGGCTTTCAAACCAGCTCTTCATTTAATACATTGATGAAAACTAAAGATAGGGATTGCATCTGGAATCTGAAGGCCTCAGCCTCTATGCCCTGTTATTGGCCATCCAGAGGAACTGGTTGGCCACTGTGTGAGACAGGATGCCAGACTGGATGGACCATTCATCTGATCCAGCAGGGCCCTTCTTATATTCTTATGTTCTTATGCATTTGTACCTATTTATACTTGTTAGACTTTGAGCAGATTGGACACAGAAAGTATCATAGTATCATGGTTCTGGAAAATGGGTACATTATATGTGTAAGATCTTGGCTAGAAACATAGCCCTGATAATGAATATTTCCAAATGCAAGTTATTGGATAGTCATACAATTTAACCCTTTATGTACTAAAAATACAACAAAGCATCTCAGTCATTCAGAATAACTGGGACATATAATGGGATGATGGTCTCAGTTGTCATGCCCAGAGCTCTGGGGCCCACAAAGCCCAGCTAGACCCCTCCTTTCTCTCCTTCAGATACCAGTTGAAGACCTGACTTTTTTCATTTGGGTGGCTGCTAAAGTTGTCCAGCATTTGTCTTGAGATGGCTTCTTATCACTATCTGGTGTTCTTCCTGTAATTTTTATGGCTGTCCTGTAGTGACTGAAATGTTTCCCTTTGACAGGTTTGGAGGGTGGGCTCCATGGCACCACATCCACACTGAGCTCCATCTCCAAACTCCACCCTCTCTAGGCCCCATCTCCCAGTCTCCAGGAATGTCCCAGGCTAAAGTTGGCAGATCTACTAACAATGCTTCACTGAGGATCAGGGGATGTTATAAATCAAATACACCCAGTTCTGGGGGCTTCAGTGAGGATGGGAGTGGAGTCTCCCTCTTGTGTATAGAATGACAGCCAATAGTTTTACATATTGGAATGCCATGATGTTTAGCAGGGAATATGAAACACTGCAAACAAATGAGCCATTTCTGTTACATTTGTACATATGAATGTATGAGTGTGTGCGCTCACTAGGGTCACCAACTCTGGGCTGGGAAATTCCTGGAGATTTGGGGGTAGAGCCTGGGAAGGGTGGGGTCTGGGGAGGAGAGGGGGCTCAGTAGGGACGTAATGCCATAGGGTCCAACCTCTCAAGCAGCCATTTTCTTCAAGGGAACTGTAGTCTGGAGATCAGTTGTGATTTCTGTAAATCTCTACCCCCCCCATGGAATTTGGAAACCCTAGTGGGCACCCAGTGTTTACAGGTCCATTAAGAAGAGGCACAATAGTCCTGGCCAGGACAATCTCTTAACGATTCCCTTCTATGAATTTTACTATGTGATATGAGGCAATTACCATCCCTTAGTGCTGCTGTATCTGATTAGGTAAAGGTAAAGGTTCCCTTGCTCGAAAGCCAGTCGAATCCGATTCTAGGGTTGCAGTGCTCATCTCCGTTTCAAAGCCGAAGAGCCAGCGCTGTCCGAAGACATTTCCGTGGTCATGTGGCCGGCATGACTAAACACCAAGGCGCACGGAACACTGTTACCTTCCCACCAAAGTGGTACCTATTTATCTACTTGCAATTTCTTGCTTTCGAACTGCTAGGTTGGCAGGAGCTGGGGCCAGAGACAGGAGCTCACTCCGTCATGCGGCAACTCGGATCTTGAACTGCTGAACTACTGACCTTCCACAGCCTGCAGTTCAGCGTCTTAACCACTTGAGCCACCGCAGCTCCACCTGTATCTGATTAGTGCTTATTAAATTACCCTTTCAGGTGTGTAAGCAATAGATACGTTATCTCCTATTAATTCATTGAAGACTTTCATCACCACATAAGTTTCTAAATTATGAGTTAATCCTTATAATGTTAAACCCAATGTTAGCGTGACACTCAGAAAGACCACGGCACGAAAAATGATTTATTTTCAGGAAAAAATGTTGACATTTTGAAACTATTTTCCTCAAAGTTGCCATTTTTACTTTTTTGGGAAAAATTGTTTACTAATAGCCTGAGGGTCAATAAATATAAAATAAACTTCAAAATATTATGCTGGCCCTATTCCAAAGAACATGTTGTACATTTTTACATGCCGAGTAGCAAGCAGCGTATATAAGAACACTGTGTGAGACAAAAACAACTGCTTCAATGAGTTGTTGCTTTAGATACAAACTGATTTACATAACTAATTGTTCCCCTATGTACTTCACAGTTCACAGCTGCTCATGTGAAAAACTGTACATCTGTGCGGAGAGCAGGTCAACTTATGGCAACCCCAGCAAGGGACTTCCAAGGGAAGTGAGGAGCAAAGGTGGTTGGCCATGGCCTGCCTAGTCTGCCGAGTCTTTGTTGGTGGACTCCCATCCAAGTACCAAACTTGTTTAAGTACCAAGATCTCACAAGATGGGGCTGTACCATCCTGCCTTCCCTCCCGAGAACTGTTATCGGCATGTTTAAAATTACACTCACAGAGTTCTGGATCATGACCTTTCATAAAGTATATTTTGACAATTTGTCTCATGGGTTTCCGGCAACAGGGGATTTATGAACTACCAGTAGCTCCTCTGTTGTTGCAGAGTATGCGTCCCCTAAAAGTCTAAGGAAGAGCTCATGAAGAGATCTGTCCGAGGCCTTTGAAAAACAGTGTTTCTTTCTTAGGGTTGTTCTCTGTGCTGCTTAGCTGATAATTTAATTCATGGTGCTCTTCTTAGTCCATGTTCTGTTTTGGGGACAAAACAAATCTTTTCAACATGCCATGGATGGTGGGAGAGGAGGTAGCTTGGGATATCTTCCACTACTCAGAAATAGCTCTCATTTGTAAAGAAAAGTTTGGTGACCTTGGATCTATGTGCTGCATTTCATCCAACTCCCTCCCCTCCCCAAACTCCAAGTGACAAACATGGCTTTCCCTTTCCCATTTTATACTCACAACAACCCTAGGGTTGCCAGCTTTGGGTTAGGAAATACCTGGAGTTATGCAGGTGGAACCTGAAGTGGGCAGGGTTTCAGTAGGGAAGGGAATTCAGTGTGGTATAATGCCATAGAATCCACCTTCCAAAATGACCATTTTCTCTAGGGGAACTGACCTATGTCATCTAGAGAATAGTGGTAATAGTGGGAGATTTCCAGCCACCACCTGGAGGTTGGCAACCCTGAGCAACCCTGTGAGGTAGGCTGGACTAAGGGAGTGTGACTAGTTCATGAGCTTCATGGTTCTGTACGGGGTGGTGGTGGTCAGAAATGAAGTCTATTGCTGTGATGCAGCTACATGTTCACTCCATGGATCATCTGAACACCTTGAATGTCTTGCGGGAGCCTTCCAGGGAAGTCAGTTCAGAACAGGGTAAACAAAGGTTTCCTGTGACAATTAAAAAATAATGTTTTCATCCATAGTCGGGGTTTTAAAACAATGCTAGACTTCTCTGTTCATAATCAGTTAAGCTCCAGCATTTCTGCTCCTCAGGATCTGGAGATACCAATGTCTTTTGCCTTCCTTTAAAAAAAAAACCCTCTCAATATTCTCACATAAATCTTTCCCCCTACCAAAGACTCATGGTTTGGCAAAACATTATAAAGTTGAAACACTTCTCTGAATTTATAGCAGCCCCTTTGATCTCACAAACTTGGCATGGGAGAACCCGCAAGCTTGTGAGAATCCCAGTGGGGCGCTTCTTAGTTTTAGTAGAGCAGGAAACACTACTGGGGTGTGTAGACAACACTCGGAACAATAATCTCAAAACGTACACAGTGAAGGGCTTTTATGTGTTATCTAAACATTGCTGCTTTTTCACTTTAATATTTGCATTGTCTTTAAGACTCTCTTTTTTGAGAGAAAGAGGAAAAGAAAGACTTTTAACTTTCCATTCCAGGCTTTTATCAGAACGTGCTGTTCTGTGACCTTATCATTTCTTTTTATTCAGTCAATATTCCAACAATCTGCCTGGAGAGACTGAAT